AATACTTGTGTGGATCTTTTATTTATACAGGGTTCAGTGAAAATTTGCCTGTTATATACATTTTAAGACAAAGAGGATGAGTTTTTAATGTAAGTGTTTGATTTGGGTTGAAAATACAAACAATGAAATATTCAAATCTTAACTATACAATTCAGTTTTTTTTCATACAAAATGAGCATTCTTGTGTAACCAGGACCCAAATCAAGGAATATATTACTAGAACCCCAGAAATCCACTTCAACCTTCTAGACTGTATCTCCTAGAGTAGCACTTATGGTGAATTAGAACATTGATTTATTGTCAAACTTTCATAGATTGGGTCATAGAGTATATTCTATACCTAGCTTCTTTCATTCAGCATTAACCTACAAGATATTGTATATAGTTATAATTCATTCATTCTCATTGCTATATGGTATATCATTATATAAATATACTACCATTTATTTTCCCATCTTAATGCTTATGGACATTGGTTGGGGCTATTTAAAGATTTTATTTATTTATTTATTAGAGAGAGAGAAAGCGTGAGAGGAGGGAGGTCAGCGGGAGAAGCAGACTCCCTGCTGAGCAGAGAGCCCAACTCGGGGCTTGATCCTGGGACTCCAGGATCATGACCTGAGCCAGAGGCAGTTGCTTAACCAAATGAGCCACCCAGGTGCCCGGGTGGGGCTATTTAGAGTAACTTCCCTGAGCATTCTTATACCTGTCTTTCAGTAAACATTGCTGAGTATATCCCCAGGACCATGGGATTGTTAGTTTTAGTATACATGTCAAATAGTGGCTTACATTGGTTTACACACTCATCCACAAAGAGAGAGGGCTCCAACTGGTCCACGTCCATGCCAACCCTTGGTATCATCTGTCTTTTTCCTTTAAACTATTCTGGTATGTATGTCCTGCTATTGCATTGTGATTCTTCTTAACCTTATTTAAAAAAAAAAAAGGAAAGAAAAACTGGTTTTTAAAGATTATTTTTCACTTGAAGTAACTTAAATGCCATGCTGGAGTATTTTTCCTTATTTAAGTAATAATGTAAGAATAGTGATATTGAACTAGTGAATAATACACTAGTTTGGAATGAGATTCTTGATCATTTGTAATTGTGATAAAATTTATCTGTGCTATCAACTGTGACAGTTAAGAATAAAAAATGGGAAGTTCTTCAGATTACTGTGACATGGCATTCCTGCATCTTGAAAGAACGTTCATGGTCTGTACGTAAACCAAGATGCAACCAAAGTAGTTTACAACTGACCCATGAAGAATGTGGGGGTTAGGGGCATTGTCAAAAATCAATGTATGACTTTTGACTCTCCTGAAACTACAAATAGCCTACAGCTGACCAGAAGCCTTACCGGTAACAGTCGATTGGCACATACTTTGTATATGTATTATATACTCTATTCTTACAATAAAGTAGGCTAGAGAAAATAAAATATTGTTAAGAAAATAATTAGGAAGAGAAAATACATTTATAGTACTGTATTTATTGAAAAAAAAATCCACGTATAAAAAAAAAGAAAAAAAATCCACTTATAAGTGGACCCAGAGAGCTCAAACCTTTATTGTGTAAAGTTTTACTGTATTTAAAATTGAGAGATGAGAGTAAGTTTTTATTGCTCATATTATATCTGTGTTTCTAGAGAAATAGGGGAATCTTACAGCAAATTTGCCATCTATTATTTCAACCCTCTATCAAGCATTACTTCACTCTTTAGCTGGCAGTATACTTTAGCTGGCAGATGTCTAATGTCATGGGTGATAGTGTGCCCCTCCCCCTTTGGTGTTGGCCCCAGATCTTCCTTTATTTTTATGTTTGGGTTGGAGGGGTTACCACATCTGCAGCAATCATCCACCAACCTATGGGATCTACTTAGTGGTGAAAGAATTCGCTGTTTAAATGGTAAGAGTCATTGGCCTGCCCACACCACAGCACGGCACCAGTTGGGTTCCTACAGAGATGGCCTCGGTTTCCACACCCCCATCAAGCATTACTTCACTCTTTAGCTGGCAGTATACAACTGTTCATTGTGATTTTTTAAGAAAATAGTATATCCTTTTCTAGTTATAAGTAGTAAAATATTTGAAAATGCTATAGTTACAGGAAAAAAATTACAAAAAGAAAAAAAATGCTTTGCACAAAACTGATTGTCTTTCCGGATTATATTAATTGATTTCGGGAGTTTTCATTAATAATTATTGAGTGATCGTATTTTGGAGCTCAGGTTCCCTGGATTCACACCCTTGCTGCGCACTTAACAAAATGTTGCATTGGGAAAGTTACTGAACATAGTCAGATCCTAGATCCCCAATCTGTAGAGTGGGAATCCTTATAATATAAATATTGTATGATGTATTAGTCTGGATTCTCCAAGAAGCAGATGACAAAAAGGAATTAAACACAAGAAGGTTTTCTTAAGGGAAATGCCTATCCAAGCAAATGGGGTGGAACTGAGTAAGCCTGGTAAAGCTGTTAGTCATGAAGCACTTGTGACCCAGAGTGAAGGGGAGGGGTAAGAAATTTGAGTGGAGCGTTCAAGCATGACCTACAGCCCAAGGAAAGGTTAGCAAGGGTTTCAGGGAATCCTGAGACAAACTTGGCTGTCAGAGGAGCCCTCTGTCTTCCATTGATGGTTCTGCGTTAGTATCCCTCCTGAACACAGTGATTGGTTGGGGGCAGGCGTGGAAAGAGATTTCAGAGTGAAGCAGCGGGTACACTTAGTCAATTAAATTTCGTGTACTTCGAGGTCTATAGGCACATTCTCATGCCCACAACAAATGATTATCATGTGAATAAACCGACAAACTCCAATGAAAGTATTTAAAACAATGCCTGGATCATAAACATGCATTTGTCCACTTAGGTATTCATATTATTCATCATTATTAATAATAAATACAATAAAGGAGCCACATGTGCAATCTGCTTGAAATATTTGGAAGAAAAATATAATAATGCTACAGAAGAGTTAAGAAAAGTTTAATATTTATAGTTTACTTAATTCCTTCTAAATAAATGATATTATTACACATCAATAGATTTGTATAATTGATTTTCTTCTATTGTTATTGGCATATATTGCCAAATCCCTAATGCATACTGGAATACCTAACTGTATACCCCTCTATTTCTGCGTTAAGAAGTGGGTTCAAGGGGGACACCTGGGTGGCTCAGTTGGTTAAGCAGCTGCCTTTGGCTCAGGTCATGATCCCAGCGTCCTGGGATCGAGTCCCACATCGGGCTCCTTGCTCATCAGGGAGCCTGCTTCTCCTTTCTGCCTGCCATTCTGTCTGCCTGTGTTTGCTCTCTCTCCCTCTCTCTCTCTCTGACAAATAAATAATTAAAATCTTTAAAAAAAAAAAGAAGTGGGTTCAAGGTTGTTTTAAAAATAAAAAAGATATATTAATATCATTATTTTTGTCACGTGCAACTGATATTATCGATTTAAAAAATTTCCATCATTTAATTGGAAGAATCTAGTTGGTAATTGTTTGACCCACTTGTAGAAATTAATCACTGGGCATGCAGAATTTGGGGAGGAATTGGATATTCCTTAAAACTTCTTTTGTATGGCCATATTCTCAACAGTGGAACCTCCTTTCACCTTTTCAAAGAGCTTCCATTGCTGTGGAAAGTCCAGAGGGTTCATGTGGATAGCTGTGATACTCTGCTCAAATAGAGGGAAGAAATATTACATTAAGCATAATGTGAAAATGCTTGCTGAAAAGTCTCTGAGGCCACTTTATCATGACTTCTATTTAAACAGATTACTCAGAGGAGAGTCTTAAATGGAAAGAGTATGGAATGTTCAGGGCATGGCCTCCTATCTCTTACTTTTCCCTATTTGTACTCTTTGTAAATAGAACCCTAGTGATTCTTCCCTGTGTGTGTTATTCATATGCCTTTGCCATTTCTCCTGCTGGGATGTCACCCTTTGCTCTGGAGTTTACATTAACTCTACCATCTCAGGCCTATTCTTCCCTTAACACTTCAAGGGCTAACACAAGCTATAACTTCTTTAATTCTCCCCCAAGTGTCTTAATCCAGACAGACTTCTCCACATGCTCAGTGTTTACTACCCATGTTATCCCTCACCTCTCACATGGCAGATATCATTCCTTCTAGCTATTCCAATAGCATACTGAACATCTCCTTTATTCCTAGCATTGTGACTGATGAATCTAAATTATCATTTTAGGAAGATAGTGATTTGCAATGACTTTAACCACCTGTGAAGACCCCCTATTACATACAACATGATTTGCTAGATCCTTGTTCAGATAAATGTTGATGAAAGATTGTAGTTTTTTCTGCTTGCAAAATATTTTGCCAGTTTTAGTTATTTATGATGTTCATAGTTTTGACTTTTATAGTCCAATATGTAAAAAATAGCATTGGGACTCATTTATATATTATATAAAATAAAATAAATTGACCCAGATAATATGGATTCAGACGTATGCGTAATTCAGCAAAATCTGGTAATGAATTAGGATGTATAGTAGCTTTCTTTAGTACATCGATAAATAATATTAAAACACAATTAATTGGGGCACCTGGGTGGCTCAGTGGGTTAAAGCCTCTGCCTTCAGCTCAGGTCATGATCCTGGGGTCCTGGAATCGAGCCCCACACCAGGCTCTCTGCTCAGCGGGGAGCCTGCTGCCTCCTCTCTCTCTCTGCCTGCCTCTCTGCCTACTTGTGATCTCTGTCTGTCAAATAAATAAATAAAATCTTAAAAGAAAATAAAAACCACAATTAATTTTTGGTTACATCTTTTGAGAGAGAAACATTAGAATAGTTTATATTTGCATGGTAAGCATTTTACCAAAAAAAAAAATGGTGCAGCTGGGCCAGGGTCTGTTCCAAGAAAAACATATATATATTGTACACTCTTAAAAGAGTAAGATTCTGAGCTCAGGTATGTTCAAATGGTTGTGGCAGATAATATTCTGGCAGGTTGCTAAGTCTTCTATCTTCCACTTTTCTCTTTGTTAGCTATACTCAGCGTGTGGTTGGCAATGGAATCAAAGCCCAGTCTGGAAATCCCGAAGTCAAAGTCAGAGGAACTGATCCCGTGATAAATCAAATTATTGATAAACTGAAGCATGTTATTCAAGTAAGTGCAGATACTCTACTTATTGGTATAATCAATGGTAAATAATAAGTGGTTGCTTTCCATTACATGTGATAAATCTATTAATCCTATCTGATGGTCCTACCTAAACATGAGTATTGGAATAAATTATTTATATCGAGAGTTTTAGAAATATTTTGTTGAGAAATTTTCATACAGAATCAATGTACAGTCATATCTTAATGGAGGGCAGTCTGTATCTGTGAAAAGGAGCCACAGCCTCACAGTTTCAAGGTATAGTGAAAATCTTAGGATAAGCTTCATCCCCAATGAATGAAGTTAGACACGGGGACTGCCGTGACAATTAGAGAAAACACAGACCAGAGGAGACACTGGAGTCGCTTTTCAGGTAACTCTCTGAGCCTCGCTGTGAGGGGTTTTGCTCCAGTTTTAATAAAAGGTAAGTCATAAATGAACAATAATGCATTTTTGTATTTATTTCCTGTATCACCTTTTATATATTATCTTATAATCTACCTAATGACTATTTATGAAATACTTATGTTTTATCCTTAATAAACTGTAATCAAGTATGTACTACTATTTTTAATATATAGTATATGAAGCATATAAATGTCTATCAAAAGAGCATTTCATTGAACTAATCTTTTAATTAGAATCAAATATTATGTTACATGCTATAATGGCAACCCTCCATTCTTCATCTATTGGAGTTTGGGCTAAGGAGGACTATTTTTTTAGGATTCGTCTTTTTATAACAATTTATCTATGCATATATTCTCATTTTTTCTAAGTAAAGCCTTGGATGGATAGTTCTGATATTCTATATCAGAAACTATACCTAAACAGTACTGAGTTTTTATGAATATTAAAATATTCTGGGGTGCTTGGGTGTCTCAGTAGGTTAAGCATCCAAATCGATTTTGGCTCAAGTCATGATCTCAGGTCATAAGATTGAGCCTCATGTGGGCCTCTACACTGGGCACAGACCCTGCTTGGGATTCTCTCTTTCCCTCTGCCCACCCTTCTCTCCCCCTGACTCACACAGGCACACATTCTCTCTCTCTCTCTCTCTAAAACAAAACAAAACAAAACAAAACAAAACAAGCTAGAGTCATTGTTATGCTGTTCATAGTTGCTCTGCAAAATTTGAGTTTATGTAGGCCCACTTCTTAGGATTCTATTTTTATGAAAGTCTGTGTCTTGATCAGAGGAAATGTAAACATTAAAGGCCCTATGTCCAATACCATAGATCTCTCCCTTCCAGGAGACAATAATGATTACTTTGGCTTTTCTATGACTGGTACGTTGGGAAAGCACAGCTGTCACCGTCGATGGCAGAACCAAAAGTAAGTTCCATTGAGAAAGTGTAGGAGAAAAGTGATGTCATGACTATTAATGAGTTAAACCTCATAGCCTCTAGTGAGTTAAACCAATTCTCTCAGAGAGATACCTCTCAGGTAAAGTAGATAGTTGCCTTATGCTGCTAGTAGGCCAAGTGCTCTGACATTTCTTGAACCTGAGTGGTACTGGGATTGTGTCAGGAGCTTAAGTGACATTGATGGAAGCATCAGAGTGAGCAGTACGAGCTAGACCACAGCCTGGGGCAGAATGGCTAAGATCTGGATGGAGATCTGTTGTCCTCAGAAGCAGTGATATTAAGCCCATCAGTAAATGTCACTTAGGCATTTAGAAGAAGGAGGTCACTCTTCCTGTCCAATTTTTGGAGCCTTGATGTTCCATAGTAAGAAGAACAAAGAAGACCTCTAGGTGAAATTAATCTTGACTCAGTGAGAACCAAATGGGGGCTCAGGAAGATTTAGGATATTTTATTAATACTTGAATTGCTAATAGCTCAATAAACAATCTGTTAGGAACTCAACACATAAGAGACTCTGGAACAAAGACCTGTGTGCAGGAGATTTCTGGCAGGGTGCCTTTGCAGTCAGTAAAGGACTAGAGGAAGTAGCGCTGTAGAGAGAGAGAAAGCAATTGAACCATATTTGCAGTAATAATGGAATCTTCTTCTGAATCCAGTAGGAACTCTGAAGCTAGGACAGTGCTTTCCAGTTGACCTGAATTGAAACAAGGAGGTGGGTTATTGGACCAGTAATTGGATGAGGGCTATTAGGGTGGAGGCAGGGGAGTGTTACCTTAGCTCTGAGTTACCAGCAGCCAACACCATTACCTGCAGCTGGAGGAACAAATGCCTGGTCTCGCTGGCACCTCATAACATCGTGCACTGTAACATGGTATAATGAGGTATGCAGATCTAGACTATTCGAAATTCTAGTGCACATTGCTCATAAGATCAAGAGAATCGGTTCCTCTCTTTGAGATAAAATCTTAGGGGTCTCCAAAGTTTGCTAAGCATTCCCCCAGAGAGTGCACAAACCGGTCCACTGGACGGCAGGAAGGAAAAATGAACTTCAGTGTCTATTTATGCTATCTTATTATGTTAATTTATTCGGTTATAGGAAAGTGTGTAAAATAGATAACAATGCAATGGCACGTGTGTGTAATATAGAAATATGTAAATACACTTGTCCAGTAGGTGCGTGTTCAAACTTTGTGGAACATACACATGATGAAAGCTGATGGAAACCTTATAAGTAATGAGGCTGGAGCTGCTATATAGGAAAGAGTCTACAGATACAAGAAAACATATTCACAAAGAAATAAGTAGATAGTCAAAATATAAAGGTTTATAAAAACTCTTAGGAAGAGGGTTTGCTGGTATGTAGCCCATCCAACAGAACATCACTGTCTTCTTCTTTCATTGTTTTTAAAGCCGTATCCTTTTCAAGATGGCAGAGGGAAATAATCCCACTTATTATTTTTTTTTTTAGCTCCTGTGTTAAATTGAACCCAATTCTTTCATCTTCCTATGAGTGTACAGATCTCCAATTATTCATGCTCAAGTTTTGTTCCAGGACTATAAAAGGATATGATATAAAATGCTACCTTTGAGGTCTATCTCTTAAAGGCTATAGGATGAGGATTGAAATTTGGGTTTTTAGAGAAGATAGCAGAAAGTCATTTTGTACAGGTGTCATGAAAATATTCACCTTTAATGGCTTAGAACATGTTCTCTCCTAAACCAGCTGTCCCGAAGATGAAGAGACGTTTTTGATTTTGCTAGACTTCTGACTGCTAATCATACATGTGTGCCCTTGTGGGGATGGCTATTATACTGTCACTATCAAGGAGGAATTATAAAGACCTAGCACAGTGTCAGGTCTGAAAAGTTTCAGAAAATTGTCTTCTATAAGCGATAACTTCTTAATTTGGGAGGAGTGTGAGACAAAGGGAGGAAGTAAAGGTAGGACTATATTTCAGAATCTATTCTGTAGATTTAGATGATCACTTATTTATGTTTCCACAGAATTCCATCTTTCTTATTATGATGGGTATTAAGTGCATTTAATAGTGAAAATAACATCTGTCATCATAAGGATAAGCTAATGTTCCTCTTGTCCTTTTCCCCTGTTAAATATATGGAAAGAAACCAACCACATTTATTAGCAAAAATTGAATCCATTCATTAGCCTCCAAACACCTTTCTTTTTGGCCTCTCATTGAGCTGCACCTCATTTTCTACCATGTAACCTCTGCAATTACAGTCACTAAACAAGTGGGTATGAACTTTGCTTTGAAAAATGGTACTTTTTAAATATCTTATTTTTCCATTTTATTTTATTTTATTTCTTTTCAGTGTTCCAGTATTTATTGTTTATGTGTCACACCCAGTGTTCCATGCAATACATGCCCTCCATAATACCCACCACCAGGCTCACCCAACCCCCACCCCCCTCCCCTCCAAAACCCTCAGTTTGTTTCTCAGAGTCCACAGACTCTCATGGTTTGTCTCCCTCTCCAATTTAAAGTCTTAATAATTAATTTATTCAAAATATTCAATCAGTACTTATTGAGTTTCTACTATGGACCTTCATCTCTACAAGGCACTCAAGTTAAAGGGGTGAGCAAAGCTGACACAACTCTGTTCACATGAGATTTACATTCTAGGAAAAAATATGTAAGTACAATAACTGTAGCTGACAAATATAAAGAAAACAAAATGGTATGATGTAGGAAAAGGTACTTAAGAAGAGTGTCCCTGTAGAGGCCACCAAAAGGGGGATGTTTGGGTTGATACTGAAGAAGGAGAAGAAGGGAATCTGAAAAATCCAGGAGAACTGTGTGTGGGGCAAAAGGATACTACGTTCGAAGGACCTGTGGTAGAAATAGGTTTATTGTATTCACAGAACAAACAGAAGGGCATGTGGCCACAATAGAATGAGTGAAGGGGAGAGAAAGAGTGATATATTCTGAATTAAGGGGAATTTGGTAGACCCCTGCAGGGAGTTTAGATTTTATCCTAAGTGGGATTGGAAACCAAAGACTGTGGGGAGATGGTGATATAATTTAATTAATGTTTCATAAAGATAATTCAGTCTTCACTTTGGAAAATGGACCAAAGTAGAAGAAGAGCAAAAATAGAGGAAGTAAGCAACAAAGGCAAAAGATCGTGGTGATTGGGACTAGAATAAGAAGAGTGGTCACCATGAGAAGCTGGGAGATTTCAATAAATACAGGAAGGAGAGTTAATTAAGATTTGTTGATGGATTGGAAATGGGATAGAGAGGGAGAGAACAAGGGTAAGAACTACCCTTGGTGGGGTGATAGTGTCATTAAATGAAACAAGGAATTCTGGAAATGGAGTAAGTCTGGGATTTAAGTTGTTGGGGTTGATTAGTTATGGTTCTGTAACATTTGAAATGCCTCAGACTCCCGAGAGGAACATCCAGAGCTCGGGGGCAGCCACAGAGGAGAAGGAATGTATTTGGGAGCATCAGTGTTAGATAGTATTTAAGTTGTGGGACTATGAGGTTGTCACCTTCTCCTTGGAGAATTAATTCACAGCAAAACTTTCAGGGGAGAATATAAAAAAGCAGAAACATATGAAAGATGTATATTCCAAAAATCTAGGAATGGAGAAAACATTTATTAAATGTATGTGA